GAAACAGAAAACCAAATACTGCATGCTCTCACTCATAAGTGGGAGCTAAACAAACAGTATTCATGGACTTGCAGAGGGGAATAAGAGACACTGGGGACTCCAAAAATGGGGAGGTTGGGAAGAGAGTGAGGACTGAAAAATTACCTACTACATGCAGTGTTCACTATTTGGGTGATGGATATGTTAAAAGCTCACACCCCACTGCTAGGTCATATATGTATATATTTAATCACTGCACTTGTACCCCTTAAATCTTTTTAAATAAATAAATAAATAAAATGTATTCTCCATCAGATTTTCCAAGGTTAAAAAAATGATTAAGTTTTCATGTTCTTGTATTAATATATAAAAATTCCTTTTCGGCTTTAATCACCTTTTTTCAAGGGCTCACCTCACCCACCAGGGATATAAAAATGAATTAGTTTTCCAGTCAGCTCTTTGATATCTAGAAACAAAAGACTGAGTTCTGAGTATATCACAGACAGGAAGAGGAGATTTAGTCTCTGTGTGTAGGTAGGGGTCAAGAGCATATAGAGTGACCTGGACACCCAGAATAATGATAAATGCCATCACAAAACTGCCCAAAAGCTGGTCTGACTTTCTTCTTCCCCTTGATGATGGAAAAATTATTCAATTTTGAAAGCCCTTTGTATGCCGGTGCAGAGAAAACAGAACACTTCTACACTATTGGTGGGAATGCAAGCTAGTTCAACATCTGTGAAATATAGTATGACGATTCTTAAAATAACTAAAAATTGCTCTTCCATATGATCCAGCAATCCCTCTCCTGGGTCAAGTACCCTTGACCTCCTGGGTCAAGTATGCATAAACTGTGTTTATAACAAACTGTACCCTATACCCAAGGAAGCATACATCACCCTACCAAAAAGACACCTGCGCATGCATGTTTATTGACACACTGTTCACAATAGCAAAAACATGCATCCAACCCTACTGCCCATCAAAAGTGGACTGGAGAAAGAAAATGTGGTACACATACATGATAGAGTATTATGCAGCCATAAAAAAAGAACAAAATCATGGCCTTTGGAGACCATCATACTAAGCAAACTATCAGAGAAACAAAGAACTGAATACTGCACGTTCTCATTCATAAGCAGTCCCTGAACACTAGTCACATTAACACAAGGTGGGATGGGCAGTCACTGGGCACTGCTAGGGGAGGGGAAAGGGAGGGAGAAGGGTGGAGTTCATGTAACAACACAAAGGGTACTTGATCCATGACCAGGAGGTATGAGGGCCAGTTAGAAGCCCAAACTTCGCCAGCATGCAGCCTACTTATATAGTTAATCCTCACTTGTACTCACAACTCTATAATAAAAAAATTTTTTAAAGATCTTTTAAAATTCACTTATGGTTTTATATACCTAACATGCATATTGCCACACCCGGTATGGATAAACTGTATTTATAATAAACTATACTATATCATACATAAAATAGTATCAACACCACCCATTCCGCTTTCCTGAAGTTGTGAAGTTTGTTAAAAATTTTCAACAGTGGCCACAAGTGCATGGTCTCCTCTGGACTTCCTATTCAGGCATCTCACAAGACCACTCTTCTCTTTATCTCCAGGGTCTGAGGTAATGAGTTCCAGAACTCCGGTCCTGCTAGGGAATTGATTAAAGATACTGAAAGGGTCTCAGTGGGCACCTTAGGCAGTCACATAAAAATCTGAAATTTAAACATCCATCCTGTAGTCTCTCTATACTCCCCATGACCTATAGTTTTAGCCTTGGTAAGTAAGAAGTCTATATAGTAAGCAAGTGTTTGCTGCTGAAAGTGGAGCTAAACTGAGCCCAAGCTTTGAAGGGATGGGAGGAAGGAACTTTGGCCACAGAAGGGCTGTAGTGCATGCCTGCTGAAGCTGATAACTACTGCAATCAGGTCTTGCTGTCTTCATAAGATCCCAGGTCTGAACATAGCAGCAGCTCAGGAAGCAGACAACAACTTTCTCACATTTATCCACTCTCTAGGTTTCCTGAACAGAGAGTTGTCTCCTGTGTGATACCAGTAGGAATATTGTTGAAATCCAGAAAGTTAAGCAAGTTAAATGGGCAGAATTCCAGTGCAAGTATAAGATGAGCTCAATTATTAAAGGTTCCCCTTTGCATCAGACACAAAGTTAGCAGAATCAAGAATTATTTCCAAGAAACAAAGAGAAGGATAGGAAGCAATCTGACCCTTTGGAAGAAAAGCTTTTCTGTGACATAAAAGGACATTTCCCTGAGTGACCACAGAGTATAAATAATAGAATCAGAACAGTCATTCAACTTGTTTAAGTCTCCAAGCAAAGCAACTGGAGCATAGAGGCTATGGGTTATAACTCTCCTTCTGATCCCAGCAGGTTCTGGACAACTGCTTTAGTACTGATCAAGACTAATGAAGTCTTTGCCAAATCTGATAACAGATTGTCCAAAGATCTTTAAATATGAAGCACTTAGACTAGTTATCTTACTAAGATCTCTCTGGCCCACAGAATAAAGGTGATCTTTCTCAAGCAGATATCTCCTGGTTTCATTATTCTGAATTTCACTTTACTTCCAAATCCCCTAACTACTTCAAACTATACTCATGATTCTCTCTCTGGTTCATATTCTGCCCAATTCCCTTACAATATGAAGCACAAGTTCCAATCCCAAAGAGAGTTTGTCTTGAGATTATAGCAAACAGAAGGTGAGAATCAGACTTTTAATAATTAATTTGTCATTTAACTCTCACTCATTTCGGGCTTAAAAAGTTACGAGGATTTATTAATCTACCTTCTTCAAAATTTTCTATATGTGCTTTGGAGCTCCAGAGATCTAGGTTTGACTTCCATCTCCAGCATTGATTGACTGTATGACTTGAGGCACAGTATCAAATTATCTCAGCCTCTCTTTCTTTATTTGCAAATTGAAGTAATAGAGTTACATTGCAAAGTATTTATAAAGTCTAAATGTGTTTATTTTTGCAATGCTCCTGGCAAATAGAAGATGTTCATCAGAAATTATATTTATTTCCTCTTTAACATCATATTTTTGGTTTAATGTCAAGAATATTTTCTACTATACGTACTATACAACAAGTTATAAGTTATATTGTTAACCACCATCTAGCTTGATTGTTTCTGAGAGGTAAGTTAACCACAGATCTTCTGTATTCACTTTGTTGCATAATGTGGTAACAGTTGATCATAGCCACAGCAGAAGCAGAAGTGCACAGCATGAGAGCCGATCTGATCTTCAAGTGGAAAGTAAGTTAATGACACTTACTGTTAATGTCATTCATATTGGAAATGAAAGAGAAAATATCCATGTATATATTTATGTATATTTCTCTAGTTCATTTATTTATTCTGCTGAGGAGTCACCACTGTTTTTCAAGGCCTATTAAGCTAGCTGCTGCTATTTAACATTGAATTGTCACCTGTGTGGAAACAAAGGTTAACAGTTGTTTAGAGCTTGACATCTAAGGGAAAAAATCAATCCTGATTTAAAGCCCATTTTTGTCATTTTATGTGTATCTAATCTTAGAAGTATTCGTCCTTTTTTCTAAGCTTTTATTTCCTCATCTATAGCATGCTACTACAAATAGAATATTATTTACAGGATTTTTAAGGAGATGAAATGTGCACCAAGTTACTATTAGTTAACTAAATAAAAATTAATTTTTTATCTATACAAGAAAAAAATCCTGTGTATCTGCTGTATACCCGAGTGTGTTCTAAGCAGTGGATTTACAGAGGTAGATAGAACAAAATCCCTACTTTCTTGGAGCTCACATTTAGTGGTATTATTAATTAGGAGTGAGGAGATTACTACTCTCAATGTGGAGAGGCCCAAGTTGGTATATGAACTCTGTCTAGTGACTAGACTCTACTGAGACTTCATTTCTTCCTCAGTAGAACAATGGGTCCCCCCAGCATCACTACTCTGTGTTCTGTGAGCTGTTTTGGATTTGGCCTTCTTATTGGAGATGTGACCAATGTTGATGGTGCTTCAGCCTCTCTTTCAACCTGGTTCACAGCAGTTGGGTTCTAGACTTCTGGAGAATGCCAATTACTAATAGGAGGATCAGGGTTTTGATTTCCTACACTAGCTGTCAGGAATAGCCTCACAAACAGCTCTTCAGACACCCTCCAGTTCTCTTGGAAATTTTGTGATCTGAACAGCATTTGAGCTATCTGGATAAGGCTAAGCTTCTTTGACAGGCAGACTAGAGGAGAAGATGAGTGAAGTCTTAATCCATGCCTTCCATGAGGTTTTTATGTGGGGCTTAAAGTTAAACAGAAACAGAAAAGTGAAAGAAAGAAAGAAACAAACATAAGAGTAGAGCAAAGAAAATAAGATGAGATAATGGAAAGGAGCATAAGATGAAATAAAGTTGGAACTTTAGCGAGTGACCTGACAGAAAAGAGGTATGTAAAGATGATTTAACAAAAAAGTCTATTCCTAAGGGATATATAGAGTTAAGTATGGCAAACAGAAACAGTGAAGATTTGCTCATTCCTTTGTCTGAAGAAGCCACAGAGAGCAATTACTACAACCCAAGGAAGTATGTTGCTATAGAAGAAAGATCTCAACAAAAGCTGTGGAGAAACCTGAACTCCCCCACCCCCACACTTCTATCTCTCTGTTGGATGAGCCTAATACAAAGTCCAGAGGCCAAGAAGGTGTATTTGATACAGAAGTCAGAACAGAATAAAATGAGTGGAAGAGCGCACATAGAATATCCCACTTTCCCAGTTTGGTCCTTACAAGTTGCATTAGCAAGTTACTTCACAATTCCTGTCTTTATTTCTTATTGTTACTATGGAACTAAAAATATTTCCCTCATAAAGATGTTGGGAGGAATCTAGGGACGGGAACCTCTGGGAAAAGCTATACAGTTCTAGGTCCATTTTGTTCTAATTTTTTCTCTTTTTAAAAAAAATTTTCCCAGGTGAAATCACTAGCATGTCCTCAACTCATTTCAGGATTTTGGAAGGAACCTAACTGCCCTCTTTGTTCCCTCACACAATGACACTAGGATCCTTGGGAAACAGCAGCCCTGTTTCCTCATTCTTCCTGCTGAGTGGCGTTCCTGGTCTGGAGCACATGCACACCTGGATTTCCATCCCACTAGGCTTCATGTATCTGGTTTCCATTCTGGGCAACTGCACAATTCTTATCATCATTAAAACAGAGCCCTCACTCCATGAGCCTATGTACCTCTTCCTGTCCATGCTGGCTCTGACTGACTTGGGTCTGTCCCTTTGCACGCTTCCCACAGTGTTGGGTATTTTTATGGTTGGCACACAAGAAATTAGTCACAATGCCTGTTTTGTCCAGCTCTTTTTCATTCACTGCTTGTCCTTTCTCGAGTCCTCCGTGCTACTGTCCATGGCCTTTGACCGCTTTGTGGCCATCTGCCGTCCCTTGCACTATGCTTCTATTCTCACCAACACAGTCATTGGCAGGATTGGCCTGGCCTCTCTGGGCCGGAGTGTAGTACTCATTTTCCCATTGCCTTTTATGCTCAAAAGATTCCCCTATTGTGGCTCCCGAGTCCTCTCACATTCATATTGTCTCCACCAAGAAGTGATGAAATTGGCTTGTGCAGACATCAAGGCCAACAGCATCTACGGCATGTTTGTCATTGTCTCCACAGTGGGTATAGACTCACTGCTCATCCTCTTCTCCTATGCGCTGATTCTGCACACTGTGCTGTCCATCGCCTCCAAGTCTGAGAGACTCAAAGTTCTTAATACGTGTGTTTCTCACATCTGTGCTGTGCTGCTCTTCTATACTCCCATGATTGGTTTGTCTGTCATACATCGGTTTGGAAAGCAGGCACCACCTTTGGTCCAGGTGGTCATGGGTTTTGTGTATCTTCTCTTTCCTCCCTTGATGAATCCCATTGTCTACAGTGTAAAGACCAAACAGATCCGAGAACGAGTGACCCACGCCTTTCGTCACTAACTGGATATAAATTTTGGAGGCACCATCTCCTTAAATGTGCCCTTACTCCGCCATTAATTATTATATCTAATGAGCATAAAATAGAGGAGACGTTTATTTTTTACAACACAAATATATAGAGAGGTGAACAAGAAATCACAGTCCTCATAGAACTCGCATTTTTGTTCTGGGGTAGGTGGATACGATGTAATATGATGTGGTAAACTGTGTTTTCTAGAAATGGAAACTGAAATAATTCTAATTCCACATTCTCTTCCATAAATTTCCCATTCCTTCTCAGAGGATCAATTTCTTCTCCCCTTGTAACTGGGTAGAATTTTTAAATGCCTCACCAATTGAATATTGAGGAAATGAACCTGTGAGACTCATAAGGCTGCGTCATAAAAAGTAGGTTTTTTGTTGTTTTGCTTTGCTTCATTTTTACTTCTCTCTCTCTCTCTCTCTCTCTCTCTCTCTCTCTCTCTCTCTCTCTCTCTCCTCTTTCTCTCTCTCTCCACCTTCCACCCTCTCTTTTTCTCTCTCTCTCTCCATTCTATCTCTATTTCTATTTCAACATGTCTCCCTCATTGCTGACTTTTGGAACCCAGCCATTACACTGAGAAAAAGCCCAGTCCACACTGAGAAGTCACAAGTTCTATCCAATAGGCTCAGCCAAGGTCTCTGCCTTACCTGTGTCAGTATTGGCTGCTAGTGAATGAAGAATCTTTCAAGTTACTCCATTCCCCATCTTGTCAGCCTCGTCAGCTGCCAGTGAAACCAACAATCAATTGTTTTCTGAACTCAGACCAAGTTGTAGATTTGTAAATACAATAAATACTTTAAAGATACTTAATTTGGGAATAATTTATTATACCATGTTAATTGTAAGAAATACCATGTTAATTGTATTTCTAAAAATATAAAGCAACTTATATGAGAACAAGAAAGAGTACTATCTGCCCTTAGCTGGAGGAAAAGAGTATCAAGAAAGGTTTCCATTAGTTGACATAGTAGTTAGCCATGAGAGACACAGAGGATTTAAGCCATTAAAGACTATAAGAGGAAGGATGCAAAAACATGTTCCAATTGAAATAGATAGCATGTGCAAGCTAAGGCAGAGGTGAGAGAGAAGATAATGCATTTAGGAAAGTATCTGAAATTTTGTCTTGTACTTGTTCTCTAGTATGTCAGAGAAGGCTTGAAAACAATGAGTGGTAAATGGAAAGAGACTGAAGTACTGACCATATCAGAAAGCTCATAAAAATGATAAACCAAGAATAAATTACTTGTTATACCCTCTTATATGTGCATTACAACTGCACCCCCTTGTACTCAAGATAAAAAAATTTATCTTTTGAGTAATACATGCCAATAAAGCATTTATAATTTTGGTTTGGAGATTTCTGTGAGGAAACCATGTCTGGATAAGATGCTACCAAGAAGAGCTTTGGACACCTAGAGGGAAACACATTTGTAGGGAAGAAAAACGAAAAAGAGTGGCTAAAGCAAAATCCTCTACTATAAAGTGTTTGTGGAGCCAGTTCTCACTTGAGGTTGGTCTTTCCAAGGCTATCGAACTACTGCACTCAACATTTAACTCGTGAAATGCCCACCCCCAGCACCACTGCCTCATTCTGTCTGATAAGAGAACACTGTTTTTGCAATGATGTGTGTATGCAAATTTTGACTATCAAGCATGTAGGAGATCCACGATTAGTTATACACAGCAAATTGAATATAATAAACTAGGTGTGGAAATACCATGTGTGGCTTATGTTTCATGTGATTGTGTACATACCAACTTCAGAAAAATCGTTAAACCACTAAAAATTCTGAGGTACGTGAGCAGCCTCACAGTTGGATTCTTTCTATGCTGTGTGCAATTATAATCTCGATCTCCATAAAGGAGTTTTAGTCTCTTATTCCTTATGATGAATTTTAAGTTATCCTTATATACTAGAAAGTATACTAAACTCCAAGTCAGGTTAGGGAAGTTCTTCCTTCTCACTGTGTGACTTAGGCAAATTAATTTACTTATCTGAGCTCAATTTTTTATTAAAATGGACTAAAAAATTCATTCTACAAGGTATTCTACACAATTTAAAGATATAAATATATTTATATATATGTTTCTATAATAGTCCTTAGCATGTTTTCAACTCACAATAAACTTTATTAATATAATTTTCAAAATAAGACATAGTAACACAAATTAAAATGTATCAACATACCCTAGAGAATGTGTGATAAAAAATGAGGAAGCCCCAAAACAACCCTAAAGGGAAGAAGAGTCATGGGTAGCTTTCTGGAAGGGTTCTCATAGCTGAGGCATAAAGTACATACAGCAGAAGTTAGTTGGGTAAGAATAATTGTTGAGTATTAATTATTTTCTCAGGTATGCATTCTAGAAGTATGATGGGCAAAAGGATAATAAAGAACTGTGTTCTTGACTTATATTTTGTAGTATAGAGAGACCATAGGAAAAAATAACTATTTCAGACAGTGCTAAGGGCTCTAAAGGAAACAAAATGGGGTAGTGGGTGGAGAGAGATGGAATAAATAAACAGGGAAGGCCCCTGAAAAGGAGAAGATTTGAGCAAAATTCTGAATAATGCAATGGAGTTCAATATTATTTCCCTGGGGTAGGAATAAATGTAGATGTTCTAGGAACATTAATTGATGAACTGAAGATGGTTAGAAGAGAGGAGTTCTACATAAAGCTGACAGTTCAATGTCTGTCAGACGAGAAAAGGCATCTTGTTTTAGGAAGTAGAAACATAACTGAACAGCAGTGACAATGAGAAGTAATTAGAAATGTCCTGAGGGATCTGACATCAAGCATTCTGAATCTAAGATTATAATCTTTGCAGCATATCTAAGTCAGAGCTGGTGGGGAAAAGGAAGTGATTCATTTTCTCCCTTTTGTTTTATTATCAGCTCCCTCTGAAAATCCTGAGGCCCAGACTCCTCTGATGAAGTGGGGGAAAAAAAGGTAAACCATAATTGTAGTGTGCTATGAGGCTATAGTGAAGCATGACATAACAGCCATTAGGAATGGAATGTGGAACCAACCTTACATAGACATTCATGTACTTATTTATTATTCAACAGTTAATTATCAACTTCTATGAAAATTAATGGGAGAAAATTGGTGAACAAGGCACAGTGCTCACCCTCAAGAAGTTTATAGTCTGGTGGGAGTATCTAGAATATTTTAGCACTTTGTATGAACTACAAATTGAGTCCTGAATGTCAGCTTAGAGCTATCCAGATGAAAGTAAGGAAAAATAGCAAGTATTCTGTGAAACAGTCAAGAGATTACAAAGACCATTTTTTGTGAAGAAACTGTAATTCTTGTCAGGAACAGGCAAGTGGTAGACTTAGAGGAGGTGTCACGGTGCAGCCAGTAATATACACAGATCAGAAATCGCAGTGACTCTATACTTAGTAATTTACTCAACCAATATTTAATGAATACCTACTTTATACCAGGAAATATTCTTGTTTGTTTTGTTTTGTTTTGTTTTTGTGAGTCAAAGTCTTACTCTGTCGCCCAGGCTGGAGTACAGTGGCACATTCCTGGCCACCGCAACCACGACCTACTATGTTCAGGAGATCCTTTCACCTCAGCCTTCCAAGTAGCTGGAACTACAGTCACTTGCCACTTTGCCTGAATAATTTTTTAAATTTATTTTAAGGACGAGGTCTCACCAAGGTGCCCAGGTTGGTCTCGAATCCCTGGACTCAGGCAATCCTTTCACCTCAGTCTCCCAAAGTGCTGGGATTACAGGCTTGAGCCACCATGCCCAGCCAATATTCTTGGTTTTAAGAATAGAGTAGTAAATAGAATAGAAAAATACACTGTCCTCAGGAGTCTTAGATTCTAGCAGGGTCTGGCAGATATGAGAACCAAATAAAAGGCATAGTGTGGTGAAGGGTAAAAATTGCTATGGAGAAAAATTTAAGTAGAAAAAGGGAATGGGTTGTGCTTAGGAAGTTTGTAACTCATAATAGTCAAGGAAAGTTGCATTAAGAAGGCAATATTACAAGGAAGTAAAAAAGCAACACATGGATATCTTTGGGAAAAGAATTCCAGACAGAGAGAAGAACAAGTGCAAGAGTCTGAAACAGGAACATTTCTGGTGTGTTTAAGACACATTAAGGATGCTACTGCTCTTTAAAGAAAAACAAAAAAGAATGCTACAAAGGAGAATATAGAAAGAAAGAATAAAAAAGAAATAGTGTTGACCATGTCATGCAAGTCATTGAGGAATTTGGAATTTCAATTCACAATGAGATGGAAAATCCTAGACAATTGTGAGCAGAGAGAGAACATGACGTGGATAGTCTTAACACAGTCACTTGGCCAGGACAAGAGGGGGCAGCAGAGAGACTTTTGTAATAATCTAAGATGCTAGTTTATAACAGAGGTTAATAGCGGAAGAGAAAGTAAATGATTATATTGTGAAGGTGGAAATGGCAGAATTTGGTGAAGTCAGATTTCTTTAACAAGATTTTTTTAAATGTTCTCTTCTCATTAAATTACTTTAGTTATTTTAGTTCTCTTTTCGGTTATTTTTCAAAAATGTGCTTCTTAATGTGTAATCTATGTATTATTGCTATTTTGATGAATTAATAAACACAATTTTATGCTACCCAGTTTTGATTTCTAATATGGTAGATATCTATAGGTATTATACCCATAACTACAAGATCTTTGGGGTTTTCAATAATTTTAATAGCATAGAAGGATTGTAAGGCCAAGATATTTTAAAACTGCTGTTACAGATACTTATTTTATTAAGATACAAAAATAATGAGGCAATAAGAAAGTATAGATTATACCTTTTAACAAAAGTCACTCCTTGGTATATTTAAGATTTTCAGAAATGAGTAGATATATCTCTAGACCTCTATATATGTATTTACAGAATTATTAAACATTAATTTTCAGACTTCAACAATAACCACATACATTATTGTATCAATTTATTTACATAACATATTTAATTTGTAATTTCTATGTAACATGTATTGTTCTACATAAGGTATAGACTCT